TATGTATTTAGGGGTTAAAGATATATTGAGATTAAAATATTATTGAATAGTTTTTAAAATGAAATATATATAATTTATTTCAATATAGATTATAATATAAGTTTAATTAATTAATCTTTTCTATTTGAAATATATTTTATTATAAAGATTTATATTATAAATAAGATTATAAATATTTGTAATTTAGATTCCCAAAAATATAATGTAAATCAATTTATAAATTTGGATTTTTATCTATTAGTAACTAATAGTATTATAGCTTATTTCTATTATAAAATTCATATTGTAAATATACTGAATATTAAAGTTTTATTGAATAACAATATTACTATCCCAGAAGAATAGATTATCGATTTAAACAACAAAATCTTAATTCTATCTCAATATACAGATTTATAAGCTAAAATTGTAATATAATCAAAAAAGATTAAAAGAAAAATCCCAATTTATATTATAAATAAAATTATTATTTTATTTCATTTTTAAATATTTATATTAATTATAAATAAAAAGAATAATAAATTGTTTTTTTTAATTTATAATATAATTTATAAATCTTTGTAACAAGGGAATTTTATATTTTTCTTATATTTGATATTTAATAAGTTTAGCTTTATTATAATTGAGAATTCTATAAATAAAGAAATAATGATTTATAAGAATTTAAAGTTTAGGAATATTATAGAATCTAATATTTAGATAATAATAGTTATAAATAAGATTAATATTTATTATTTTATTCAAATATTGATTATTATATTTAAATCCAAAAAACACTTTTTGATTAAAGAATTGCTTATAGCTATAGTAATTATAGCCTTATAAACAATTAGTAGCACAAATAATATTCTAGATTATATAAGTATAATTGATTCAGAACTTATTAAACAAAAGATTGTTTTATTAAATAAAATTATAATTTATAGAAATAAAATATAGAAATAGTAATTAAAGGATTTAATAATAAGTAATTACATAATTTAAAAAGATTGAAAAGGTTTTATAAATATATTAAAAAGCAAAGAAATAGAGATTAACTTATACAAAAATTAGGAAAAGAAATTCAGATCAAATAAGGCAAAGATTTATTTTATAAGTTAAAAAGATTAGATTCTTATAAATAAAATTTATAATAAACTTTATAAATAAGATTATTTCAAATAAATAATAAAACTAGTCCTTTTTAGTTTTTTAGTATTTTGTATATAGAAAAAGATAATTAATAAAAAAAAATTATATTAAAAAAAAGTAAAGTTATTATAGATATCTATATATTGAATCAGATTATCATTTCTGATGTATATTCAATCTCCACACAAACCAATATTATTATAATTATAGCTGAATATCCTTTTATATTTATTATTAATTATACTAGCTTTTTCTATTAGTAATGTATCAAAAAGGATTATCAGAAATACCTCATCATATCATCTTATTATAATTAAAAGACATTTATTTATATAATAATAGAATTTAGAAATTCATTAATTTATATTTAGAGATATATTAATATTATTCTTAGATTAAAAAGAGAGTTTATAAGAGTTTATATTAATAATATTATTATTTTTAATCATATATTTAAAGATTATTTAAATATCTTTAATAGGTTTTTTTGTAATTAAAAAATATAAATATTATTTTAAATTTTAAAAATACTTTTTAGTTTATTCTTCTATTATATTATTTAATTAAAAAGTAAATATATTTGATTTTGTATTAATAAAAGATAAGCTTTTTATTATCTAAACTTTAGTTTTTTTTTAATCTTTAAAACAATTCAAATATTATCTTAATTTATTAGTTATTTGTAATAATATATCCTATATTATGTAAAAGTATTAATAATATTATAAAAAAGAAAAAGCGAGCTAAATTATTTATTATATATTTATAATAAGAATATTATTATAAAAGTTAAAAGAAAAAACTTGGTGGCAATTTTGAAACTCAAAAATATTATTATTAAAAAAAGGGATTTATTCAATAAATTATAACTTATTTTCAAGAAATCTTCAATTTTATATTATTTCAATTCTGAGAAAAGACTATATATTAATATAGATATATTCAAAAAAGGAATTAATAATATAATTTATTATTTTATAATTAATTTATTAATTCAAAAGTCTATTATATTAATTATATTTCTCTCTTGATTTATTATATTTATTAAATCTAATTATTAATTAATTAAATTAGAGATTACAGATTTATATTAAATAATTTCAAGAATTTAGTATTTAATTAAATTATTAAAATTTCTGATAATAATATATATAGATTATTTTATAAATATCTAGATTATTATTTAAATTTCTATAAATATATTTTCCTTAATTTAATTAAATTCTTATTATTTGCAAAATTCCGAATATCTTTTCCAATTTTGTTTTAAGATATAATATAAGTTTGAATACTTTAATATTGTGCTAGATATCTTATTATAATTTTATATTATTAAGAAAAAAACAAATAAATAGAAATCAATTTAAATAGAATCAAGTTATAACTACAAAATATCAGAAATTATAATCTATTTTATAATAATTCTATAGATTGAAAAGATTTGGCTATAAAAACTTAAATAGATATATATATTGGATTTATAGTGTACCAAATTGATTAAATAAATTGAAGAAAATAAAAAACTGAGAATTAATATTACAAAGTTATTTTTCAAAATGAAATAAAATATTCTATATATAAAATCTAATGTAATATATCTATAAAAAAGATTAATAATACTCATATCTCTAAAAAACGAAATATTTAATTATATATATAATTAATTAGGATATTCAGATTATAATTATATTTATAAAAAGATTTCTTTCAGTTTTTATATTTTTAATATATCTAAAAAGCTTTAATCTTTTCTTTATTATTATTATTGATATAGAATATTATTAACTCCTTAATATCAATCTTATAAATCACTATAATCTATTCTAACTCCTTTATATATCTTTTATATAATATCTATCGATTTCATTTTAACTTTATTTAAATCAATATTGGATTTATTTAATTATACTTTATCAATTACAAATAAATTCTTTAAAGCAATTATTTTGATTTCTAGAAGAAATACTTGAATTACAGCTTAATAAGGAAATTCCCTAATTCAATATCTATTTCTAATATTGTAAAGAATATCTCATATAATTATTTCTAATTAAAACAAAAAGTTTATTTTTAAGGTATAAAAAAGGATTATAGATTTATTAAATATTAAACTATTATTTAATACAATTTAATACCTATAGACAAATAGAAATAATAAATATATTAATTAGATAATAGAGATTGCTTTTCAATATTATTTTAATACTCTAAATAATAATTTGTAATAACTAATAATATTATCATATTTATTTATAGTTTTATTAAATTCTATATCTCAAGGTATAAATATTATTATTATTATAATAATATATAGATCTAGGATTAAAGAGTTATTCGATATTATAACAAAAGCAATTGTGAAACTGGTAGAAATATTATCCTGAAGAGCTAGATCCAAATCTATAATAAAACAAATAGTTAAAGTATACTTAATAAAATCTATAAATAATATTAAATACAAATCTATAATAATTAAGGTAATCAATATAATTAAATTTATAGTTATATTTATAAAGTATTATTTCAATTAATAATATAAATCTATATTCTTTAAGATTAGGAATTATATTTCTTTATAATTATATTGAAAATATAATATATCTAATATTATAAATAGAAATATAAAGATTGAGTAATAGTTTATAAATCTATTTAAAATTCTAAAGAAAATCAAATATTTAGCTTATTAAATCAAACTATTTGAGTTTATAAAGATATATTTAATTATTAATATTATACATTTTGAATTTATATTAGATCCTATATAAAATCCCTTTTATTATTTTTTTGCATAAAGAATTCTATAGAATTTTAAATTGATTTTAAAAAGAATTCTGTGGAAATAAGTTTTATATAGAAAAAAAGGAAAAGAAATAAATAAATACTTGATTTAATATTTAAAAAGAGAGGTAAAATAAAATTAATAAATATTAAATAAAAAAGTTCTAATAGAATTAATTAGAACTTTTAATAAATAAATTTATATATATTTAAAAATAGAAATCAAAATTAAATATATTTTGTTTTAGAGTAAAGTATTTTTTCAATTATAGTATTTGTTATACTTTTAATTATGTGTATATATTAAATTAGTTTAATTCAGATTAGCTAAGCTAGTGCCAATATCTTGGCCCTTGGTATTATTCTAAATAACCATCTTTTAATCCACACACAAACCTCACAGATTATAAGTTATAATAATCAATCATGTTCCGTCTCCAAGTGTTCTAGATAGATATGAGGGTTTTACTGATACAAGTCTCGCTAATGTTTGGACTGTCTATCGTTGCCCCCCGAGAAAAGTTTGGAGTTCCGGGAAGAAGTTTTTTGGGTATTGGGAGGCGATAAGGGTTGTCTTAGATGTGACGTGTTATGTTTTCTCGTCTCTTGCTCTTATTGCGAGATATGATAGTAATCTCTATCACAGGGATATCCGTGATATACAATTTACCCATACCTTTCATACCGCGCGTCTTAGTCGGCAGGATTTGTCGGGTTCTCGGACGAATGCGCAGGTGAAGAGAATGTGGAATATTGTGCGAGACGTGAATATAAATCTTTGCAATTGAGATCAAGTAGAAATCAAGTCCTCTATTTTTGACATAACCCTCAATGGGTTTCAATTATTCGTATTAACCGATATACGCTATGTACATCCGTATACGACTCTCAAACTTCGATATGATCTATTCAACTCTTTCCTTGTGATTCCTCTTCAGTACACTATTAAATTGTATGTAACTTCGATATCCTTATCGAACTATGCAGCTTGTGTAGAGAGCTTTCCTTTGGCCTGGGGGGATTGCGCTGATTTGAGATACATACCATTGCCTCTCATGAAAATAATCAACTATAAAAACTCGTAGAGCTTAGTGATGATGTCTCCACGGATCGTCCTTCAGTGGAACCTTTCTCCAGGTAAATTCCGGAACAAACTTTTCTTGATTCCAATCACGAGTGTGTTTCAGACACATTACCAGCTCTGGCGGGTTCCAACTTGTATAACTCCCTCTTCGAGTAAGACGAAAACTGGCTTTGGCAACTTGTTGTATAACCAATGACATTTTCCACAAATCTACATCATACAAACTTGTATGTCCGTTTATTTTTGAGAGAACTATTTCCTTCGTCTCATCCCCATCTTCCTTTTCCAAAACTAAGATAAGAGTTTCCAAGCCTCAAAATGCAGGTAGATGATAAGCCGCTTTTACCTGAAACTCCCGAATCCACTTGACTGATATCGCTAGTGTTTTGATTCTTTCTAATTGGTCTGGCTCCATTGCTTGTTTGAGCGCCAGCAACATTCTTGGTATATTACCATCAGGGTGGGAGTAGCCCTTAATGATTCCCAACATTGGCGGATTAAGGAAAAGAACCTCGTGTGTAAAATTGATAATGGCATCCCTACTCCATGCTTTAATTCTCAAGTGTCGATTATTTTTCAACATCAAAGTTTCGTATCCCATGACGGATAGGAGATGGCTCCTACTTTCTCGATTCACATGGAATATAGCGTGCGCAGGGTGTTTCGTAGGAAAGATTGAATCTTTAGATATGTTTAGCTCTATGACACGCCCATGTTCAGGAGCACATAGACACCAAATATTTTGCCGCATCTCGGGCGGCAGTTCTGGGAATAGGGTGAAAGTTTTTGGACACAGTGTAAATGATGGTGGAGGATGAACGGTAAGAGATGTGAATGGATAGGATCTCGACGACGAAGTTTGAACACCTTCGATTGGCTCGGTATCAAGTTGATCATTGAAAATCAATGGACAGTCAGAGAAATCGTCGGCGTAACCTCTTTGCTTTCGGTGCGAGTGTACTGGGATTTCATTAGCTGCTTTTATCAAGAACTCACTTATAACCTACTCATTCTTACAAACATTTCAAGCTCTTCCGCCAACAAATCAGAATTGGCATTATTGATTCGAAGACATGTGTAGATATCCTTAAATGCGTAGTGTACGCTAACTTGATATAGCAGATGCTCGGGATCCTCAATACAATCCATTCTTGTTAAGATATGAGAAAATGCTGTGGTTTTAGATTCAATGATACAAGAAGGATATGCCATTACAATTATACTTCCCATCTCCTTATGAATTTCAGAGAAGTCGCAATCCTGATCCACCACTAGTGTTTTAATCCTTCTCTTCTCGGGACTTGCAAGTCTTTCAGTCTTCATTGTCTTACCTTTCGTTCCTACTCAAGATCTGAACGGTCTTGAAACTTCAAAGGCCTTGTAAATTTGATTGATGAATATAGCTTCGATTCCAAGTTTAATGAACCTAGAAACATGATGTATCATAGTGAAGAGGAGGAGAATGAGAGAAATAAGAGGCTAAATGTGATGAACACTGAGTGAAATTTCCAGATCTTACGTAGAGTATAGAACTTTGAAATATCAATATGTGGCAAATAATGAGTAAAATTCATATTGAATAATCACTCAGGATCCATTTGTCAAGCTTTTGACTGGGTAATGCTAAGTCAAATCCAAATCTTGATGCTGGGTTGTTTGTGGCTGTGGTTGGGTCTTGCTAAATTTCGTCAGATTACCAATTGATCATCGCAGTGCAGTGTCAATGATTGTGAAGAAGTGGATTATTTTTGCTTTGAAGATATAAAAATACTGACGACGACGACGTAAGGACCGAGTCAGTATGAATTTCCATTTTCATTTCAAACGGACAACAATTCATATCGTCATGAGAGCAGGTTAGGAAGCTGTCTGATCCCGTGTCAAAAATGACATCATGGCTTTAAACTGGGCATGTTCGTATTCACGTATTCTCATCGTACCTCAACTTACCACGAACGAAACTTTTCTTCTTCTCTTTATAACCTCAATTGTGTGCAAATACTTGAAGCCTCGACTCCGTCATAAATAAAAAAATAAAACACAATCGCAATGGGTTTATTCGCCGCCATACTCGGTCTCATTGGCACTGGTCAAATTGCCTTCACAGGATACAATCTCTACCTCTCCTCAATTGCTATCCCAAAGCTCCTCTCATACGAAGATAAAGCTGTAAAGGCTGCAAAATATTCAAACATCGCCGAGGAGCAATTGCTCAAGACGCGTACCACACAAGCTGCGAGTGTTGGAGCTGTAAGTCTTCATCTCTCCTCCTCTTACACCCATATACCCCTCATTTGACAACAACTGACTTTTCCTATTAGCTCCTCCTAAGCTTTCTAACCGCCACTCCATTTCTTCTCTCTCGCTATAGCAGTAGCACGATCTTTGCTCTCTCTGCAGTCAATCTCGCAGTCTTACTTGTCACAAGAGAATATGTAGGAGATTTTTGGAAGGGCAAAGCAAAAATGCCGATTCCAGGTACTGGAGACTTCAACGATGCAATTGGGTTGACGAATGAAATTAGAGCGAACCAATTGTTTTTGGCAATAAGCTGGGTGGCTTACGGAGTTGTGGGTTTGTTGGCATAAACGGGACAATGGGGAAACTGGATGAGATAGGATGGGATAGGATGGGGTAAAATAGGGTAGGATCAAAAGGAGTTTGGATGGTTGCATATATATGGACGGTGAGTGGCATATTATGGGAGGTTCGATCATCATTTCTACTGGATGCAATTAATTATTGCATATGGAACCTGGAAATGGAAGTACAAAATTTTACTGATATCGGTTCTCTGAGAATTTCAAGATTTCAGCGCACACAGTCTTTACATTGATGTGGAAGTGTCTGATACTTTTCTGTTGCTCTAAATAATGGCTTCTCTCCATTTTCGTGACACTTTGGGAAAAATCCAGAGAACGAGCAAGGTCTCTTCCTGATGATATCTGCAAAAGTTCGTTGATATCCGCGGCCATATCTGGTGGATGTAGTCTTTGGAGGTCTAGAACTTTCCTGTATCGGTATATCCATGAATGAGATTCTAGTAGAAGGCATTGCCTATTTCCTGCGCACTTTTATATCTCTATATTTAACTCACGTCTTTCGTGTGGAGAGCCGGGAAGTTGAGAAATACAAGCTACTCAGTCCTACATATACTTCCCTTCGATGACCTTTGTTATGTCAATTTGTTCATGTACGAAAGCTTTAGTCTCTAAATGTTTCTATAGGCAACGGAAGATGAATTGTATATACACTGCGCTAGAGAAAGAAATATTTGGTGTGTTACAGAGTAGAAACATAGCGCTCAAGGATTCTAATTAGTTACAATCTCACCTGACCAGGACTTTATTATTCAAAGGAGTCAGGAATATACGTATCCACTTGCTATTAGGTTGAACCTGCACCATCCACTTCATCAAAATACAGCCACGACTACTTGCTTTCCTTATAATACCCCCACATCAAGTACAAAAATCTACTGCAAGATCCAACTCCGCCCTCGCCTCTTTACAGTTCTCCTATCTACTCATACAAAAATCCTGTAAGCTTCAAAATACTCTCATTTCCAGTCGACCAGCTCAACTCCTTCACTTTCTCCAAGCCCCCCAACTCCTCTTCATATTTCCTCTTGATAAAGCTCCAACTATCCGGGCCCACTGGCAACCTCAATCCCATTTCTCCTTTTCTTTCCAATTCCGTCGCTTCGAGGAGGATCTGTGCAACTCTATCCGGATCCGCCACGTAATCTCCAAAATTAGGATTCTCCAGAAACGCCTCCAGCTGGCGTGTACCGAAAGAAGGATCTGTGTAAGCTGGATGTGCGGGAATCTTGACAAGAGACGAGGTGCCATAGTTAGTTTTGACTCCACCCGGCTCGATAATCAGGAAACGTATGTTCCAGGATTTGGGGATTTCGTGGTAAAGAGACTCGGTGAAACCTTCGAGTGCGAATTTACTAGTTCTGGTCAGATATCAAAGATGCATAGATATTGTGTGGACAAAAATCATACCTAGCGTGATAATAAGCCTGACCTGCAAAAGCCATCACACCACCCATCGTACTAATCTGCATGACCAATCCACCTTTCTCTACATTGACCTCTCTAAAAATCTTGACAGCTTCATTCGTTAAACGGGCTGCGCCCCAGAAATTGGTTTCTAGTATTTTGCGAGCGGTGTCGTCGGGGATGAATTCTGTATCGCCCAAAACACTATAGCCGGCATTATTGACGAGGATATCAATGTGTTTGAAAGTGGATAGACCACTAGCTAGAGCTTTGGTAACGGAGGATTGCGAAGTTACATCGAGGGCGAGAGCAAGAACACGTGGAGATTTAGGGAGATAGGTGAGAGATGAGGGGTTGCGGGCTGTGGCTATGATGGAATGGGTTGTTGCGTTGAAGATTTCTTGGGCGAGAGATCTTCCAATGCCGGATGAACAGCCAGTGACTTTGGGCTTTGTTAGTTAGGGGATGGAGAGGATTGGAGAGAGGAAAACTTACTGAACCATACTGTATCAGCGGGTAGGTTGGAGTCGATCTTGATGTTGGAAGACATTGTTCTATAAGCTTTAAAGAGCTAATTTGGCTCGTCTAATGCGATACTAGTAAAGGGGATGAAATTCGAATATGATGAGAATGATACTGAGATTGAAGCTTTGTTAATTGCGGAAGAAGAAGTTCTTTCTTCGCTGGGCATCTAGCATCTTATATACTATTTCTACATCTCTCACCTCCCCGTGAATCAACTGAATTATATTCCAAACCTTTCCGCATTTACAATATATCACTCTGTCCGTGACAAAGCATCGCAGAGTGCGGCCGTGTGCGGGCGGACTCCCGCCCGCACACGAGTGCGCTTTGTGGGAATAGCCAATCAATGATGGAGATAAAATATGTAGGTGGATGACATTCATGCAATGTCAGCACCGCTTTGAATGATCCGCCGCTAAAGCCGGTGGTATCTCCGCCTACTCTACGATATCTTGTGCAATATTTCCGAGATTGCGAAAAAGTTGGTATTTTTGTTAAAAGGCTGATGGATGATCTTTGGGGATGATGCATCATAATTCCGATTTTACTAGGGAATATCGGAAGGAATTTCTTCCTGTGGAAATCAAGGGGGTTTATTTCAAAATGCGGGGATCATAAGAGAGGTCATCTGTTTTGAGAGAATATTCTATGCAACTTGCTGACTGCAATGCGAATCTTTGTCTCGCGATTTTAGACATTGGTTTTAGTTTCTATTTATCCACGTCTAGGACATCATGATAGATATCTCTGCGTAATATCTATTTTATCGGAATGGCCTGTCAAGTTATTTTCATCCAGGAAAAACACTACGGGCGATAGATCGTGGATTAAGCTTCCCATTACCTGGAGAAAGGCACAAGGAGATGTCATACGAACACTTCATATGTTTCTGTTGGATAGCTTCGTTTCGTAAGGTGTGTACACATGTAGTACGTGTAAGGGTCAAATTTTCGTATCTCATTCTGTCTACATCCTTCGTTCTAAGGTGGATTGCTATATGAAAGCCCATCACACCCTACGTGTGAATCTGCGTAGGTAGCGTACCTCTTCGAAGTGGGTTGTAGCGTGATTCAGTATCGCGTGTGTCAATTTTTTCTTTTTCGAAATAGGTGAGGTGGTAGAAGAGTTACTACTCTGTGCTGGGGCTTCTGATCTCTTCATTATATTGATTCGATTGCACCCGTGCTATAACTATATGTTTACATTCGAAAGCGTGAATTGATCATGGAATTTCCTATATAGGAATGCGATAACACTTATAGACCTAAAATTTAATCCCCATTGTGCTGGGCTTGAAAATTGCTCAATTATACCAAGCTGCTATAGCTATCATGACATATATTGAGAGTAGCAATACACCTTGCAAGCTATATCTAATTAGCAAGTTCTAAACAAGAGTCCGAGACCACTCACTAATTACTCTTTCCTCCTGCAATAAGGAAATTAAACAGCAATACAGCCATGAACAGAGATGCCACCTGGAACCCATCGAACAATAAACCCATATCATCTATCCCCCAAATCCACGCAATAATCACAACCAGGGGCGTGATTAGTAGTGAGGTCTGAAGAGACTTGCCGGCCGATGCCATGATACTCAAGTCTAATTTATCCATCCGTGCACATGTAATGGGCATAAGATCATTGTTGAGAAAAGGAAGAAGAATCAGACCAACGAAACTAGGTGAGGCGTGATCTGCCGTCAGACCATCGATACTGTCTACAGCGAAAGTAGTGTTAAAGGCGAGTACAACTGTTCCGATAATGAGGGTAATTATACCGACCGTCATAGTGAGATGAGGCTCTAAATCTTCGCCGGTGGAATCAACAGCTGGCGGAGAAGACACGCTTCTGGTGATCTTGTCCTCTTTGGCGTCTTTGACAGTCGTTCTTGGTGCCCTTTTGATGTACTTCAACCAAAGTCAGCGCATATTGAGCCTGTGACGAATCTGGAATTACCAAGCCAGCTTCTGGATTGAAGACATATGAATGTGTTTTCAGCTGAAAGAATAGATAGATGCCATATACAAACAACAAAACAATTGCAGTCCCTCTAGATTGCGCAGCAATATTCTCCGGGGTCGAATTGGCAAAAAGATGAGATGCTGTTGGGATGATCAAGCTAGCCACAGATAATGTCAAGAAATTAGCGACATAACTTGCCGAGCTGACATTAAACGACTGTTCGAGTCGATCAATACCACCTGCGAAATAACTCGCGCCCATTATCAAAAGAACTCCGCCAAGAATTCCCCCGACTAGTGAAGTTTTCAAAATCTCGACCTGTCGAGTCTTGAGGAGAAGAATCGAGGTCACTAGTTGTACGATGTTCCCAAAAGTCATGTAGATCAATCCTCCCACTGTATTCCCAAAGCGTAACATTACTTCATCCATAGCCATATCGACAATAGAAGCGCTTGGAAAGATAGCAACGAAGTTTAGTATGAAAAGGATGACTGGTGGTAGATTGGTATAATTTGCAGCAAACCCTGCAGGTACAAATGGGAGAAGAAGCGACAACCATGATGAGCAGAAGATCGCGACTATTTTTTTGATCAAATTTTCATATGGTGATGTGTGATTTCTTGCATATTTGTTTGCTTTGTCAATTTCACAGTTTGGTTTGTCTTCGGGGCTGGAAGAGGAGCGTGGAAAACGATGCCGATGATGCTCTCCGAGGCTAGAGCCCGCTTCCCCCTCAGTAACTAGGTCACCAGCAGAAAGTGGACGCATAGGCTTCTCATCCAAGGTTGTCATGGCGAATAAAGACTCAATACCAGGGCGAAGCTTAGCGATCTCTGTATCCGAGAGTGTACGAGCTGGTCCCAAACGTGAGGGTATAGCATGCGTGTCACTTTCCGCTCTGCCAGATTCCTCATCCCTTCTTCCATGACGATCCATATCGAAGCCATTGTCGGCCCATCTTCTACCTCGTAGGAAAGGATTCCAGCTAGGAATTTGATCGCGCTCGGTTACAATTCTCGCGCTTCGAGCTTGGAGACGAACGGTATCTGCGTGTAGACATTGTTAAAATGTAACACTTTATCAAAATTACATAACTTACTCATATTGCTTGAAAGATGATAGCATTTTCCTAGAATTTCGCGAGGATATCAAGGTCTGCATGGTTTCTATTATACCGCGTTTCTACATGTAAGACACTGCCTCACGCGCTGCACAAATGTGGCGCGGTCTCAGTTATGGAAGCGTGCCACCCGTCATTATTCTTTTCGATATCATTACTGTTTAATATGAATCATAGATGTTTCTCATCGCATAGAGTCTACTTCCCATGAAATGTGCAAGAGACAGTGGGGAGAACTTCCAGTGATTTATAGGTCCAGGCTGTCTCGTAAAGCGGAGCCGTGGGGAGAACCCACTAAGCTACTGTACCCCAGAGCCACAAGCTTTCGCTAATGATAATTTTAGGGATTAATTTCAAACTCCTCATGCTATAATGCCAGAATTATCAATTTGACACACAGCACTAACCAAATGTTCAAATTCCGTGCATTTACTTTTGATTTCAACCTCAACTTTGTTCGATAAGTATCGCTTGCCCTGATAGGGGGCTACCGGTGTTCACTGGAAAGCAATGATATATACCAGATGGACAGGTGTAGTGGTGTTTGAACATTACAATCATATATTCGCAGCCCGAGCGAGAACATGTACCTGCTTTGTGAGGATTATCTCTGTGTATACCGTGGGAACTAACGACGGCTTCAACACGATTTCACATCGTCTGGTCTTCCTTTCCATAGTGATTTCTGACATTCGATATCATATCAGATTTTGAATCTATACGGCTCAAATCACATTAGAATATTGGGCGCTGCTGTGAATATGGAAACCAAACCATCAATCTCTGCTGACTTGATCACCTTCTCCGAAAATAAAATGCCTTCCCCATCTTCAGTTGTCAGAACTACAGTTTTGCAATCTTACCCTCCCCTTCCTTCTTGATCTGATCTTTGAAAACTCTCCTCAAGATCTTCCCACTAGCACTTTTCGGAATACTCTCCACCCATCTCACTCCCCCCCTTAATCTCTTATAATCCGCCACTTTACCCTCTAGCCATTTCTTAACCTCCATTCCTTCTTTCTCTCCATACAATTTCCTATCTTCCTTTCCCACACTCGCTTTCCCAACCAAAAATCCAACCGGAACCTCCGTTTCCCGCTCTTTATCGAAAACTCCGACAACACAGCAATCCTCCACCCATTCATGTTCAACCAACACCCCTTCCAACTCTGCTGGCGCAACCTGATATCCCTTATACTTGATCAACTCTTTGACACGATCTGTTATATACATATTTCCGTTTGCATCTTGGAATCCAATATCCCCCGTTTTGAAGAACGGATATTTTGATTTCGCAGAGGGAGAAGAAGCAACCAGAGCAGCAGAAGTCGCATCCGGATTATTATGATAACCCAAGAACACATTGGGGCCTGAGATCCAAATTTCCCCCTCTTGACCCACAGGTACTTCAGCATTTGACGGCGACATGAATTTGACAATTTGATTTGCCAAGGGGGGTCCCACCGATCCGAGACCGTTATGATATTCGAGCTTTTCACAGCGTTAGCAAACTTTGATTGTTCATATCGAAGTCTCATCGTACCTGTATATGAGTTACCGGACTCGTTTCACTTAATCCATACGCTTGCCGTACCCCAACTCCCAGTCTCGCTTTCACCATGTGAATCAACTCTCTACTCAGCGGTGCAGCACCCGCTACAATATTTCCTAAGCTACTGATATCATATTCTTCCACCACTGGACTTTTCGCTAGATGTAAGACTATCGGTGGTGCGACGTATGTGTATGTGATTTTGAATTCTTGAATCAGAGAAAGGAAGGTGGGAAGAGAGAAAGATTTCATGACTATGGTAGGGATTCCGAGATAGCAGGGAAGATGGACGAGACATTGAAGACCTGTGACTGTTAGACTAATTCGAGCAATATACTTTTCCTCTTAACATCAATGGGAACGAGATAGAAGAGAAGAAAATAACATACCATACGCGTGAAAAAACGGCAAAACACTCAAAATTCGATCACGATCCCAACTCATCAACTTTCCCTCCCTCGAAGCTACTTGCATCAAATTCGCCACCACATTCCTATGAGTCAACATAACCCCCTTTGGCAACCCTGTCGTTCCAGAACTATACACCAAATACGCCAAATCCTTCTCCGGGTCTATCCTCACCCTCTTCTCATCCCGCTGCTCATCCTCCATAAAGATATCCCGAATCCCCCTTTCCCCTTCAGAAACCTCACCACCTTGCACCAATATCTCAATACACGTCCCAGTTTCCCTCTCAATACCATTCACGCATGCCCTTACCCTCCCCACCAATTCCTCCGTCGTGACAACAATTTTCGCCCCACAGTCTCTCAAGTGATGCGTTAATTCCCGTTTCGTATATACCGGATTTGCAGGACTGACTATCCCACCTATATAATGTGTTCCCCACATAGTAATGGGAGTATCGATATTGTTTTCCGAGAAAAGAGTCAGGACATCACCTTTCTTAAAAGAGTAATGGTGGCGGAGACCGAGGCCAAAAGAGATGGTTTGGGATCTTATAGAGGAGTAGGTGTGTGAAGAGGTGGATGAGGAGTAAAGGACTAAAGGTATTAGTTTTCTCCCTAGTTTTGAGATTCTGCAAAAGTAATGAAGTGAAAAAGAACTACCTTGATCGTCCGAAAATGGTTTATCCTCCCGTTTAAACAATATACTCCAGAGGTCCATCTCTGGAATTTTGATCTCTACGTGGAAATTCGACATCTTATCTTCTCTCATAAGTATATCCAGCTTCTCACCCAACTTTCCAATAGAAACCCGATCAACAATCTGGACAACTACCTCGTCAAGACGAGCGAAGATATGAAATTGATCCGGTCCAGAAACCCTTCTGCTATTTCTCCCCTACAGTAAGCAGCACGAGCACTTCAGTTAAAGGAAGTTCCCACGATGGCAAGTCCTCTCCCAAAACTATTCCCCTCCTCTCCGAACTTTCAGACTTCTCCCTCAGTACCTATCAATACCTATTAATATCAAGATCAAGATCAAGATATCACCAAATCCTCACTACGACCATCCCATCCCATTCATTCATTCATTCATTCCTTCCCTTCAGATGCCCAATCAATCTAATCCGTAATCCCTAATCCCTCACAACCAGTTCTCTAAAACATCCTAATATCCAATTTTCAATATCTCGATCTCTATTAACAATCTCAAAAATATAAAATCCAACTACGAAAAATCCAGAATGAATCCATCCCCCAACCTATATATATACAAAAACTCCCCAGCATCCCGTTCCATTCCTTCCCTACCACACCCCCTCCCCACCAAGCACAAATCCACAATCCACAACCCAAGCCCCTCCCAGAATGACAAATAAAGATGAAAAACCATAGATACCTACCGGAACAACTCTCCCCTAGCCCCTAAGCCCACACACACTACATACATACATACATACATACATACATACATACATACTTACTTAGCTACATCCATACAATATCAACCCCTACCCCACCTCGCCCACTACCCCGCAACTGCAACCTCATCCCTCACCCGGACCAAAGGCAAGCTCAGGCAACTCCAACCGGGAAATGCCCACTTCCACTTCCACTTCCACTTCCACTTCCACTTCTACTTCTACTACCACTACCACTACCACTACCACTCGCCTCTCAGTCTCCATCTCCATCTCAGTGATTACAAACCATCATCACATCACATCCCAAACCCTCACTACAACTTACTATATATACACTCACACCCACACCCACACCCTCAACCTTCAGAACACACAAAGAAACACATCAATTCTCCCCCAGCTAAAGCTAAAGCTAATAATCAACTCTTACAAATAGCCTCCTAACTCCTACCAGTACCCAATCAGAGAACCCAAATATCCCCCCCCCCATTCCAAAAACATTCTACTCCCTACCTAGATACCGTATACTATTTAAAAACAAACAACAAATTCTATCATTGAAATGAACAAAATCATAAGAACAATACAATGATTACTATATCCCTAATACCAAATTCTTAATTTGATTCCAAGTATTAAACAAAATTACCCATTGAAAAAAAAGAGAAAGGGACAATTACCTTCCCGGAACAAATGCTTTTTCTGACTACCTAGGAATTAGAAGGTCGTTTGTAAGAGCCGACTATGGATGATAATTTATCGTAGTTAGATATTCCACATATTTGTAAGATACCTACAGATACCCAGATCTAGGGAATCAATATCACATCTCCGGCTCTACTTCGCACTTTACGTGTTGAAGCTAGGTGATAGGTACCTACAGTACTAGGCCACTTATATCCGCCCCCCCGCTTATTTTATAGTGTCATATATTACACCACCCTTTTTCAATATTAAATATTAAATTAATCAAGAATTATAAAATTATTAAATTTAAACAAATAAATAATATATTCTTATATTATTAATATATATAAAAATTATTTTATTATTAACTTTTAATCTATTAATATTTAATATATCAGTTATTTGCTATAATACAAGCTTCAATTTTAAAAGATATATTAGCTCCTAAATTATTAAATAATTCTTTATTTAATATATCTCAAGCTATTTATAAATAATTCTTTAATCTTTAATAAATATATTCTAATTTGCTTTTATTAATAATAATATTAGAAAACATTTTATATACTTTTATTTTTAAAGCCTACTATATATACTCTATAGAATTAAGATTAAAGAAATAAAAAAATTAATTTTTTAATAAAGAAATCTTCTTTTTTTAAAATTAATTTTATATTTTATAAACATAATAAATAAAAGTATTATTCTATATAAATTTATATCCTAAATCAAACTTTTCGAAAATAGGATTTATTTCAATTTTAAGAATTTTGAAATAAAATTTAATATTATACTTATATTTTGCATTTTCAAAATCCCTATTTATTATATATAAATTATTCTTTTCAATATTCCAAAAGCTTTTTTAATATATAATCTTTATATTCTTATTTGTATTATATATTTCAATTATTTCTAAATTCTATTTTGAAAATTAATATAAAAGTATTATTCTAATCTTTTTCCTTTTTTTTATTTTATAAAATATTTATCTAATTATATAATTAAATCTCATTTTTTATTTATTAATTCTTTATAAACTAGATATTATTTAAATCATTTAATAGTATATACTAATATAAGCTCTAATCTCTTAAATAATCTATTTATATATAATTTTTAGAAATAATTATATATATTATAATAATATTTATTTATTTTATTTAATATATAATTTAGATTAATTAATATATAATAAATATATACTATTATTATATATTAGATTTTATAAAAGAATATATTATATAATTTTATAAAAGAGTTTAAAACTCTTTATAATTTAATAGAAATTAAAATCTTTTTTTATTTTATTAACTATTTTGCTATATATATATAGAATAAGATATTTATAAGAATTATTTTGCATACCTCCAATATATTATATATTATAAATTGAAAATATAATTAAAATAATAAAATGTGATTATAGGAGTGTAACGCGTGAAAAAACGCGTTTTGTGGAGTTTCGGCTAATAGAAGTGCATGGTGACTGTAGCACACTCTGGACGTAAAAAACGGCACACCAAACCCATCAAAATCGAGATTTTTCAAATTATCATTATTTCAAATTTGAACAACAATTCGAAAAAATAAAATAAAATCTATAAATCAAAACCCTATTATAAATAATAAGCCTTTAAATCATATGATTCAATTGAAAATTTAAAAAATGATTATCGAATTGAAGAATGATTTTGGAAATATTACTGATTTTTCGGTGTGCCGTTTTTTTTTTCGTCCAGAGTGTGCCTAGTTACACCCAGTACATAGCTAAACCAATAACTAAATCTCCAAGAAGATTCCTCTCCTCTCAATTCTCTATACTTCTACTTGCAATCACAATAACGAACCCAAGAGAAAGACTCACCACTCTCCCCATCATCACATCAAGAATCACACTGTAGTATAATTGATATATAAAATTCCTAATATCGTAACTTCAAAGACAAAAATAAAAACCATTGGGTATATATACTCCTTTTCATCGCAACCATACACATTCATCATCCATATCATCCATCACTCCCAAAATCATGGGACACCATAAAATAAATCCATAATAAACATCCCTCACAGTCTCAAGACCCAAATAACCTTTCCCTATAATCCAGCCAACGAAAAATCCTAAGAGGTCAACGGCCTAAAAGCGCGAATTCCACCCATTAGTTAATCCAGCCGGGACCAATGTATTAAAGTTCTTTCATCCATTCCTAAGCGCCAATGCTCAGTCCCTGAATTTTGAACAAGATATGATGATTCAAATCACATAACCTTGACAATAATCGTACATATGTGTCGAGAAAGTGTAACAATGCCACAAAAATTCGTCGTAATGAGAAAATAAGAGATGGGAGCTTTTAAAAATCATGAAGCTTCACTCGAAAACAGCTTCCAGGCCGAGTGCTGGAGACTTCATTGATTGAGGCCACGGTATCGGCGGCATGGCTGCGAATTGCACGCCATCTGCATTAGTGAGCTTCTTTCGTTCCACCTCTTCGACCAAGTACCATCTCCGTGTGAGTCGGGATTTTCTTTCTATGAACAGTGTCATTATTCCTTCTTCTTCTCTGCTATGCATCTCCTCTAGAGCCTCTAACTCTTGATTCTGTTTGACCATTAGATTTTTAAGTTCTTCGTCTTGTCGAACGATTAAATTTTCCATCTGTTTCGCTTGCTTGTCCCGCATGACGTTAATCCTGCTCTGATGTAAACGGCCCAAGTCGTCCCGAATATTGTATTGCTGCCCAAGCTCTCTGAGATCTTTCTCGGTAACGATTCTTTGTACATCATAACCACCAGAGCTTCTACCAAGTCCATTGCAGTAAGCTTCCATGTGCTTTAAGCGAATTTGCACGCTTCTTTCGCTCTGCTTTAGAGTGGCTCTCAGCTCCATCTCAGCAGCGACTTGCCGATCTTCTAAATGCGTCGAGGTCCTCTGATGGCGTTCTTTCATTTTGGTTGAGAGCTCACCGTAGCGATCCAAAATATCAATTTTAGCTCGACCGTGCCGCGTCCACATAATCCACTTCATTTTTCTCTCGAAGGCGCAAAATCGATCTCTCTCATTGATTTGACAAGCCCGAAGAGCGTTCAATGTGGTGTTCTTTCTGGTCCGTTCTTCGGCCGCTGCACGTTCCTCTGCTTCTAACTTCTCTGCTTCTTCCCTAGCTAGCTTTTCTTTCTCCTCTTCTGCAATTCGCTGCTCTTCTTCAAGACGTCGACGTTCGAGCATTTCCTCGCCATTACAATAATTTGGACAGCCAACCGAGGGATCCCAGACAGCCCCACATATGTAACAGAATTGAGCTTTACACCTGCAAGTGATATGACTGCAGCCTTGAGATAATTCTACCAGAGTTCTACATTTGTAACAGCGACGCCATCCCGCATTCTTTGCCATTCTCAAAACAGCTTCTAATTCGTAATCTTCAGGACAATCTTGGCCACCTGGATGTGCCGCACGCTTGCATATCGAACAAGCTTTATCTCCACAAGTTCGACATACCACTTCAAACGGCTGCTTGGGATCAACTTTACCGAGTGTCGGAATAAACTCACCACAAGCGGTGTTCGGACAGAAAATCCTGGATTCCCATGGCGTACTGAACTGCACAACACTTTTCATGAATAAACTCTGTTCTTCTTT